GTGGTTATAATAGACAACAAGGTTTCCGTAGTAATCAGAGCAACCTGTCTCGTGTGGAATTATGGCATTGGCTACTTAGCCACGGTGTCCCTAGGAATGAAATAGATGGGAAACCTACTAAATATTTACCTGATCTATATAGGTGGAAGAATGGTAGATCAGGTGAACAGCAGAATAGATAGTCACGATCGGTCAATCAATTCCCAGACCTGAGCCAGTTTATAGACCCACAACCCCTTGAATGGGGGGGAGGCTGGGTCCCTTTGAAGAAGGACCCTGCTACATCACCGAAGATTTATAGTTAGTCTTTCTTCTAGCCTTCCCCAAAGGGCTGTGGCCTTTCACCAGAGTGACTGTTCGTTGGGGGAAAGGAAATAATCAAATTTTTCAGGGATTACTGGACATTGGCTTGGAACTAACACTAGTTAGTTCTTTGTTTCTCAGAAATTTGAATCTGACAAAGATGGAGGCAACAGGGCTGTTCTTAGGCTCTCTGGGCTTGCAGTAGTTCCCTTCAGTTGTGAAAAGAGGCATCTTCTTCCGAGGTAAAGGCTATTTGCTCAGGCATGCCTTGGCCAGGCACAACCACCCAGATATGTGGAGTGGGAGTGCAGACGGAAGAAAACTAATTAGGCCCAGAGCAAGAAACTCTAGATGACAATCAAAGCCCCAAGTCATCAATGTGTCAGTCAAGGGCAAGACTTTATAAATGAAATCGCCTGCTTGGTTTTGTCTGACTTCAGCAAGTACTTGCCTGCTTGTGGTTGCCCGCTTCTTCCAGCCTTCACTAAAATTAATTAAACAAGTCTCATTTGTGTCTAAAAGTTTATGCAACAAATTTTATATTAGTTACTCTCTATTGTAAGAACTAAGTCTGCTTTTATAGCTTTCTTCTTGGCAAGAGCCTATTTTTCAATATTTTGATTTTGTATTTGCATTTCTAAAAAAAATATGACTGTAAATTTTGTATTGTTCCTTAATTGGCCAAGATGGATTTTATTGGTAGTTAGCTGTTTAGGCTAGTGGTGGGAAGTCCATAAAACAGAAAATCAGATTAACTAATTAGAAGTGACTCACTCTAACTATGAGACTTCAAACAAATAGCTTGATAGTGGTCAGTGATAGTAAAAATACTACCTTCTTTTTAAGTAGTAGTATTTTTATAATTTAGAAAGCCCTTTCGAAAATTATTCTCATCTTAGAATTGAGGGAGCTACGCCAAAGGGAAGTTAAGTGACACAGAATTTAAGGGGCCGATACTGAACTCCGACCAGAGAATCTGCCACCACCTTGATCGGACTATCTTCGTGAACTCTTAGAAATGGAATACTGAGTTGTGCATACATCAACATTTTTCAAGGGAGAAGGTCACGTAGGGACTTTCAAATATTGATGGAATCTAAGGGCCCCTGGAGGAAAATACATGAAGTGTACGTCATCAAATCTGGTGTGAGATTCCAGTTCTGCCATTTGCTAGCCTTTTTACTTATCTCTCAGTAGCAAGTTGACTTCTCAGAATCATGATGAAGATTAAATCTAAAGCATCTCATACTGGTTTTTTAAAAAATAAATTCTTTATAATGATTTGATGTAGCACAGATTATCAGCTGTGCCCCAGTATCTGTTTTTCAGAGCAATGGTTTAGCTGGGCATGCAGCCAACTGAACAAAGACTATATATTTCAGCTAGAGATGTGAGATATCTTCATGGGACTAAATTATGGCCAATGAAATAAAGTTGAAAATAATATGTGGCAACAAGTAGGAATGTGCCCTAAGAAAGAGCCAGCAAGTACCTTTGATCCCTTTATGCCTAGCAATGGTGACATGATGTGTAAGGAGGAGAGGTCCCTGAGAATTTAAAGCAAAGGCATTCAATTAGGCCTGTACTTTCATATAACATAAAAATTATGACAACAATAGCAACAGCTACCATAAACATAGCCTTACAATGTGTGAAGCACTGTTCTAAGCACTTTATAACCAGACATTCTAATCAGAATTTTAAAAAGAAGTAGCGTCTGTTATTAACTTTGAGAAAATGTGCCACAGGGATAGTAAGTAACTTACCAAGGACAAGCTATTTTTAAGCCACTGTTATACTTGCAGTTGAACGCAGTGCACTGTCATCGAGTAGATGCTGACCCATAATGATATTATGGGTTAGGGTAGACCAAACTCACATGCTCTTGTGTGAGTTCACGAGACTGCAACACTTTATGGAATAGAAAGATTCCATCTTTTTCCCCAAGGAACAGCTGGAAGTCGAACTGGTGACCTTGCAGTTGACATCCCAACATGTAACTACTATGTCTTTTAAATGAAAGATAAGCACATTTTAAGTAGTTCAGTCAGAGTCTGATACCAAAGGTCTGACTGAAAAGCCAACTTTCTCCAATAATGGATTGCTCCCAATACTAGGTCAGGCTGTCCAAAATCTTGCTGTCCTTTGCCCCCTCTGTTGCCCAGTATCTGTGTTGGCAGGAGCAGGGTGGTCTGCTCGGAGAAATCAAGCTTCAAAATGTCAGCCTACAGAATATAAGTGTCTCACCTCATTTCCAAGTTGGCTTGGATATATTCATATATCTAGGTTGACTAGTGTGGACTTCATCAAGTAAACCAGAACCAGCTTCAGCATCATTATTGTTACCTACCATTTATTATTTCTACCCCATGCTAATTAAGCACTGTGTTGAAGGGTGTAAAATACCTAAATGCCTGTATGTTAACAGACTAATAACTTTGAGATAATTAAAAACCAATAAACACTAACCTTTATCATTCTGGATAGATCACCAGCATCTGCTAATTCCAAAACTATATTTAGTTCATTGTCTTCAATGAATGATGCATAATATTTAATTACATTTGGATGGTTGAGTTGCTAAAAGAAGAAAAGAGTTATCAAAAAGTTTTCTTAATGTAAATTAGTCACTTATATTTAAAATAAATTTACATATCACATTTTCTTTTTAAGTTGAAGAACTCTAAATATGCTAGTGTACTTTTCTCTAACTTGATTGAAATTTCAAAAGTTAAGCTACATGTTAATTAATCTTATTTTAGTATTCTTAGAATTCATATAGTAAATTTTGTACCTGAAACTTCAAAAAGTTGCACTATGTACAATAAATAAATGCACACAATTAAATAATAGTGTTAAATCACCAAGTACAAAATACATTATATTTTTCAAAATAAGAATGATCATTTAAGAGAACTCCAAGGGTAAACTCTCCTTTTACTCCTTTACAAGTTTAGAGCTTGTCATAGTAAAACCTGATCCAGTAGATCAAAAAATAATAACTGGTATCTACATTGTTTTTTTTTTTGGTTTGTTTGTTTGTTTTATCTGCATTGTTATAACTAAAGATTGCTCTTGCAACAAATAATACAAATGCACAGAACTTATCTATGTAGGTTGATACATAAAATTTCTAACAAAAATTCAGTCTCGAAGAAATATGTGTATCAGTTGATACATATTTATCACCTTTTTGCTCAATCTTTAAAACAAGAGTTTCTCAAATAAAATGTTTCAAGAATTATCCCTGAGAGGATACAGGTGGCTTTCTTCTTTCTATTTATATGGGGTTTTTTTTGCTTAAACTTACTGTGACTATATATTATTTCTCAAATAAAGCTTCATATATATGAAGGGGCTTCAAAATGTTTGTGGACAAATTTCATTATCTTTTAATTCCATTTTTGCATGGACCTTTCAATCTCCCTCATATGTGTGAACGTGTGAAGTCATGTCATGTCAAAAAGGTCTAACGCTTGCATCATTTATGCGCAAATACATCATTTATTTGGTTTTAACTAATGAATTATATCCCAAGCCATAACTGCAACTGCTAGGGCAGACAGAAAGCCTGGCTCATGCTGTACCGCTCAGTGGTAGTTACATAACCTTGTGTCAACTTGCGGCTAAGAGCAAAGGGGTGGAGTGTAGTCTGTCAATCTGGTCACAGCCTGATGGTGCCTCCTTGTGGGCATGGCCTTCTCATTAGGATTCTGGGAACTGCCTCTCTTGATTCTGCCATCAGAAGAGGTGGGTATCTATCTATCTATCTATCTATCTATCTATCTATCTATCTATCTATCTATCTATCTATCTATCTACCTTTCTGCTTCACCTTCCTATGGAGGAAGCACTCAGAGAGCTGGAGGAGCCAGTGTTGAGATGCTCCCACTGGCATTGGATCCACAAGACTTTCCATCCACCAGCCTGTGACCTTTGGCATTAAGCATCATTACACTTGCTGCGAGAATCTGAAGAGGAATTTATGAACTACTATCAGACATATGGGCTAGTACTGGATTTATGGACTTGGTTGGGACAGTTTCTTGATATCCAATTACTCCTTGTTATAAACCTCTTTCTTAAACATACACGAGTGTCCCTGGATTTGTTTCTCTAGTCACCCCGGACTAACATGCTCACTCTTATCTTTTTGGGTAAATCTGACTCATTGTTGATACTAACATAAATAAATGGCCTAACAAGAGAAAAGGCAAAAGACAGCAAGCATATCTCAAAATAAAAATTAGCATATATGCCACAACCATTAACACAAAAAAAATTCAATAGTAAAAAAGCAGTGCAGTGGTAACTAAGTTTTCACTTATATGCTATATGACATGCAAAAAGCTATTTCCACTCTTCCTAAATCTGGAAGAAGAAAAAATTTCAGAAGTACTGCAAAAACTTGTAAGCCATTTAGATCAGCCCACTTTATCTATGACACCTTGAAATAATGCTCAAATGCATGTAGGGTACATCACCTTTAGGATGTGTATACTTAGGTAGTGGGGTAGTTAGATAAATTTATGCCAACTTGATGATATCTAAAAATGTAGGGGTGGTATCCCATCTGTCAATCAGGTCCCAGCCTGGTAGTGCCTCCTTGGGGTGTGGCCATTTTGCACCCAGTGGCCTACGATCTCCCTGGACTTGAGTTGGACTGGGCTGGGAGGCTTCCTTGATGTATAATTACTCCCTGATATAAAGCTCTTACACATATATGACTGTCACTGGTTTTGTTTCTCTAGGAATCTTTTATAGGTTTGATATCTTAATACTTTATTTTTACCAACAGATTCAGTTATGTCCAAATATTCAACAATTCATTTACTTACCTTCAGAAGATCTATTTCTTTGATGCAATCAGCACGTGCTTTGGCATCCATTAAATCAAATATCTAAAAATGAAATGCAGAATTGTTTAATCAAATAGCGATCTATGGTTCAAACTACCATGCACATTCATCATAATGTTCTATATGTAATGATTTATAAACAAATAAATCTTTCTGATTAGCTTTAATAATGGTATATATTTGTTGGCATTTTATTTCACGTTATCACTAAAGCTTACATCATTCCTTTCCACAGCTGTCAGTATTAAGAATTGAAAAAGAGATTGGTATGTCTTAGCACTCAGCTCTTAAGTTTGAATGGAACAGAAGAAAAGTTGTGGTGATTTAAGTAACAAAATAATAGTTAATGTACATTGAAAAATTGACATGTGCTAGTAGCTGCATTGCAGGAACTGCCTCATTTATCATTTAATGCTTATGAAGACAATATTATTATTTTCATTTTACAGATAAATTAGGCTTAGAAAGCTTAAGAGACTGACAAAAAAGTCACATAGCAATTAACGAAAGAGCCAGCATTCATTCTCAGAGTTATCCAAATGGAATTCAAGCTCTGAACCATCAATCTATACAATCTCCAGCCAAATCATATCGAAAAGGTGAAATTTCAGAGGAGGGGAGTGAGAAAAATATGAAAGCACAGATATGCACCCAGTACATAAACAGATACACAGTTTATCTGTGGTATTAAAATTTCATAGAAGTGGGTGATTAGGAATGTCTAGAACAGCTCAGGATGATAATGGGGGAAGGAAGGAAGAGGGTTTTAACAAGCACAGGCACAAGGGAACAACAAGTGATCCAAAATCAATGTCAAGGAGGGTACAGGAGGCCTTGCTGGGCTGGATCAAGGGCAATATAACCGAGAGGAATGCCTAAAACCCAAATGAAGGCAGAACATGATAGTGGGACAAGAGGAAAGTACAAAGAAACAGAGGAAAGAACTAGGAGGCAAAGGGTACTCATAGAGTTGTAAATACAGGCATATAAAGATGTAAATATATTTATATAAGATGAGGGGGAAATAGGTCAATGTACATATATTTATAGGTCAAGTATTAAGAAAACAGATGGACAATGGGCCCCTACACAAGTGCTCCCCCAGCACAAGAACACTTTGTTCTAATAATTAGGCAGTCCGAGATGCTCACCTACCTGACATTATCGCTGAAGACAATGGGTGCACAAGAAAATGTGGTGAAGAAAGTGGATGATGCTTGGCTACCAAAAGATATAACACCTGAAGTCACTGAAGACAATGGGTGCACAAGCGGGTGTAGTGAGGAAAGCTGATGGTGCTCAGCTACCAAAAGATATAGCACCTGAAGCCTTAAAGACCTGAAGATAAACAAGCACCATCTAGCTGAGAGACAACAAAACCCACACGGAAGAAGCACACCAGCCTACCCCTACTCGATCACTGAGGACATAGGGGGCGCATTAGCAAAAGTGGGGAAGAAAGCAGATGGTGCCCGACTATCAAATGATACAGCATCTGGGGTCTTACAGGCTGAAGGCAAACAGATGGCCATCTAGCTAAGAAACAACAAAACCCACAAGGAAGAAGCACACCAGCCTACCCCAACATGAATGCTGAAGACAAAGCGGGTACATAAGCAAATGCGGTGAAGAAAGCTGATGGTGCCAAGCTGTCAAATTACACAGAATCTGGGGTCCCACATGCTGGAAGATAAACAAGGGGCCATTTAACTGAGAAACAACAAAGCCCACATGGAAGAAGCACACCAGCCAGTAAGATGACAAGGCGGTGAAAGGGTCAGGTATCAGGCATCAAAGACACATACAAAAAAGTCATAACATTGTGAATGAGGGGGAGTGCAGAGTAGGGACCCAGGGCCCATCCAAGGGAAATTGGACGTCCCCTTGCAGAAGGGTTGCAGGGAGGTGAGGAGCAAATCGGAATGCAGTGTAGTAAAGATGAAATATGCAATTTTCCTCTGATTCTTAAATGCTTCCTCCACCCTACTCCCATGATCCCAATTCTACCTTACATATCCGGCTGGACCGGAGGAGGTGCACTGGCACAGATAGGAACTGAAAATACAGTGAACCCAGGACAGATGAACCCCCCAGGACCAGTGGAGAGAGTGGTGATGGTGGGAGGGTGGAGGAAAGGAGAGGTTAGAAAGGGGGAGCGCAGGACAAGGTCTACATGTGGCCTCCTCCCTGAGGGATGGGCAGCGGAGAAGTGGGTGAGGGAGATGTGGGATAGGGTAAGATATGATAAAATAATAATAAATTATAAATTATCGGGGGTTCGGGGAGAGCAGGGAGGGAGAGGGAAAAATGAGCTGAAACCAAGGGCTCAAGTGGAAAGTGGGTGTCGTAAGAATGATGAAGTCAACATATGTACTAAAGTGCTGGACACAGATGATGTATGTACAGATTGTGATGAGTTGTATGAGCCCCTAATAAAATGATTATTGAAAAAAAAAAAGGAAGTCCTAACTAGATACAAGACGGAAACATGCTACCAAAAAAAAAACCCACAAATGTTTTAACTCAATTTGTACTTGAGCTAATTTGGAATAAGAAAGTAACACATTTTTCATTGAACTTTCAATCATATTAAAAGTGACTCAGCAAACCTAGGGGAAAATAAGCCTGGCTAAGGCAAAAACCTTCAGAGATTACACTTCAACATTAAGACAACAAAAACCCTCACAACGGGATCAATAAGCAGCATCACGATAAAGGGAGAAAAGACTGAATTTGTCAAGGATTCTTTTTGACTTGGCACCACCATCAATGCCCATGGAAGCAGGAGTCAAGAAATCAAGCAATGTGTTGTTGCACTAAGCAAATCTGCTTGAAAATATTAAGAAGCAAAGTTCACCTTTGAGAACTAAGGCCTGCCTGTCCCAAGCCATGGTATTTTTCTATCTCCCTGTATGCATGTGAAAAGTGGAAATTGGATAAAGACTCATTTGACTTATGGTTTTAGCAAAGAATGTTGAATATACCATGGATTGCCAGAAGAACAAACAAATGTCTGGGAAGAAGTGCACCCCAAAGCTCCATACTCTCTTCAGTAGGCTGAGTATTTGTCTCAGGTACTTAGGACACATTATCAGGAGGAACCAATCCCTGGAGAAGGACATCATTCTGGGTCCAAAAAAGAGAAGATTTCCCTCAACAAGATTCAGCTCAAAGACAGTAATGGCTGTGAAGATGGCCCAGGACAAGTCAGTGTTTCATTCTGTTCCCTATTGGGTCACTAAGGCTTGGTGTATACGTGATGGTACCCCACAACAAGGCAAAAATCAACTTTGAACTAAATACACTTACAAATGCATCGTAATTGGAAATTCAGAAATACCTTTACTTTCTTTTTCTCTTAGCCAACAAGCCAAGACAAAAATCAAAGAATGATTCATTGAAATCTTTCCTAGATGTAAATGAATGGTTCAAAACTGTCTCATGGATATCATGAGCAAGAAAAGACCACCTGGTTGGAAAAAGAAAGGGGGGCAGCTGGATTTTGTAAAAATATTTTTCATCGTTTAAAGTAAAATCTTCCTAAGGTATCTTCTTGCAGCCAAAAGGTCTTCAGATTTAAAACTCATGGTGCAGTTGGTGGGGATGCAGTTACTAGCTGTGCTTAGGCGAGTACTAGCTGATAGAGTCTTAGCACCTCTGAATCACTTTCTAAAGTTTTCCTTTGTCATCTTGAAAATGTTGCCAGATGTACTCATGACTCATGCAAATGAAAAGGTTAACAATAGAAATCCTCAGGAGGAAAAAAAACGAGTTATGCAAGTAGCAACAGAAATGTCCCTTAAAAGGCATCTGTCAAATTATAGGGAGGAAAAATGAAAAAAACACACACTTAGAATGTATCAAAGAGAGTGTTTAAAATATAAGAAAACTCTCATATATACCAAGAGAACTTGGCAAACCAAATACGTAACACATTAAAGAAACTCTACACATTTGAAAGAATCATAACCAAATAGCACTTGTGCCTCACCATCATATGGGATCTGATTTTTAAAATGTATAGCCTGACTCTATGTGTAATAGCCTGTCCTCCAGGTAAGAGGGTCTCGTG